TGTAATGGTTCTTTATGATTAAATAAATAAATGACACCAACCTGATTGCGGGATTAAAAAAAAAAAAAAAAAAAAAAAAAAAAAAAATAAGTTAGATTAAAAAGATTTATACATGCCAACCTGATTGAGAAAAAAAGTATTTACCTTATTATTAATATACTGTATATTAAAAAGTTCAAATATACAGTATATTGTATAATTAACAAATTTTTTATTATAATATAACGTGATCAACATACCAGCCACATGGATACGAATTAAAAATAAAAAGGATTTTATGATTTTATTTACAAAAATATTTATTTTTTAAAATAATACGAATTAAGAAAGTAATTTGATTCCGAAAATTTCAAATTCTGTAAGAGTTTCTAAAAGATTAGATCGCAAAATGAGGTAGTACAGACGCGATGAACTTTGTTGAATGCATAGTGATTGGATGGATTCTTTAATAGATTATTTTTTTTTTTATCTGCGTAATACAGATACATCTCTATCTTTTTCTTTCTTTCGTTCCTAAGAGCTCTTGACGTTAGATCACGACAGGTACCCATAATAATTTTATCAAAACTTCATTTACCGTGTTTGTGGGTAATATGGCGTGAATTAAAATTTCAAGTTTATAAACACATAAAAATTCATCACTCTTGTTACTTCTTTCATAGCACGATGTCCGCCACTGTTCCTGTTTGTTACTCAGACGTCGGTAAATCTGCTAGTGATCTGCTCGGCAAGGATTATCCAGTTGGTACAATTAAATTCGAATCCAAGACCAATGCCCCTAATGGTGTGGTAAGTATAATAGTTATCTAATCATTCCTTTTTTTGCATGTTAATGGAAAACCACTGCGATAATTGCAATTTATTTATTTTTTTATACTAGTCTTTTATCCTTTCTGGTCAAAAAGACTTGAAGTCTGGGAACATCAATGGAGAGTTCAAAAGCAAATACAATTACCCCAAAAAAGGCTTTCTGTTCACTGGAACTTGGACGACAAACAATTACTTAAACACCCAAGTTGAACTTGACAATAATCTTGCAAAAGGGTTAAAATTGGACTTGAGCACAAATCTCCAACTGAATACCGGCAATAAGAGTGTTAAAGGAGGTTTGATTTTCAAACAACCGGGTTTCCACACTAGACTTTATGCTGACCTTCTTGAGGGACCGGTGTTCCAAGGAGACGTTGTAATCGGTCATGAAGGTTTTCTTATAGGCGGAGAAGCAATTTACAATGTCTCCGATGGTAACGTTACTCGTTACGGTGTGTCTACTGGGTACACTGCTCCTGAATACAACATCACCCTCAAAGCTACCAATTCCATGGCAGCCTATGAGCTTCTATATTATCATCGTGTGCAACCTAACATTGAAGCCGGAGCGAAAGCACGTTGGGACACTACTTCAAGTGATAATAATATTAGTATGGAAGTCGGTACCAAATATTTCTTGGACCGTGATACGTTTGTTAAGGTGATAATTACATTTTGAACTATTAATAGAAATCAGGACATAATGCTAATATTTCGAATGTGCATATACAGGCAAAAATTGATAACTTTGGTCGTTTGGGTCTTGGATATACGCAAGCTCTTCGCCCTGGTGTCAAGATTTCTATCGGAGGCAGTTTCGAAACATCAAAATTGAGTTCGAATTCACATCGAATTGGTGTTTCTTTCAATTTAGAATCATAATTATGAGTTCGGCTGCATGCGAACAGTTTATATAATTAACGGGCATCGTGATTATGATTGTTGTAATATACAATTCATGTTGCATTTTCATTGCAATCTTTTGAGTTATATTCCTTTGGAATAAAACTCTGATTCCCTGGATTTTGATTCATGCTGTTCAATAATAAACCATAGACGTGAAAAATGTTGGAGACGAGAGTTGATCATGCGAAAGAATTATCATTATTCAAATAATAATAAATAAATTTGATCATTTGTATTACAATTGATACAATTGGTTGTGGTTGAGATTGTATTCTTTTCGTAAATTCAAATTAGCATAAAAAATAACGCTTGTACAGGTAAATTTGTTAAATCGAGAGATAAGTAATTCGCAGATGGACGTCATGTAGATGTGTACATGTATAAAAAAGAAAGCTACATTGAGAAAAGAGAAATCTTACAACCAAGCATGACAAAACAAAGAAAATAAGATAACCGATTAATAGACGAAAATAATCTCTTAAATATAAGTAACGGTCAATCAAAAAATTAGAACAAGTAAACTTAATCCTTATTAAAATTAGCCTCAATATTACTATGCACCGATTCCTCACAAAACCATACAATTTGAATGTTTATTCTTCTTTTTCCTGGTCAAAAGAGCAGCTCGTGTAGCATGTTCAAATACTTCACGTACGCCCTCTCCGGTTTTTGCCGAACACTCCAGATATTTATAAGCACCAATCTTCTGAGCAACACCCATACCCTTTTTTAACAAATGATAATTAGCTTTGTACAATTCGTACACGAAATTCTACATGCATTAAATGGAGAAAGTCATTCGCTTTACCTCTTCAGGTGTCACTGGCCTTTGTGAAGTCTTACGTAGTTCCTCGATTGTCTTGGAATCAAATCTCAAGTCTTTTTTACAACCAACTAGAATGATAGGTAATCCTTGGCAGAAATGCATCACTTCTGAGATCCACTAATTTAGTTAAACGTTAAAAATTAATTTCATAAAAATATTCCATGGTAAATAAATACATTACGAAAAAAAAAATAGGTTCTTATAGAAAGATATTTCATCTTACCTTTTCCTGCACGTTATCCAAGGAATCGGGGGAATCAACAGCAAAGCAAATCAAAATAACATGAGAGTCTGGGTAAGACAGAGGTCTAAGACGATCATAATCTTCTTGACCTATTCATTTCATAAAGAATTTATGGTCGAAAAACGAATATTCCACAAATTTCACAGTAATAGAGAATGTTGACATAAATAATTTACCTGCTGTATCCCATAAAGCTAGTTCGACATGTCTACCATCCACTTCTACATCAGCCACATAGTTCTCGAATACAGTAGGGACATAAACCTGTTTATTATGTTAAACTTTTAGTTTTGACATAAAACGCATCAAAAATATATATAACAGCTTGTCACTTATACAACAAAATAATTTTTAGATATACTAGGTTATTCTATTTATAGAGTATATTTGAAATTCATGAAATATAAAGTGTAATCCACTTATCAACATACCTCAGGAAAAGTACCCTTGGAGTAGACAATCAAGAGACATGTTTTGCCGCATGCACCGTCACCAACAATTACAAGTTTTCGACGAATCTCAGACATTCTTGTAGACTTTTTAAGAAAAAGTTACAAATGTATGTGAATAATTTCACAAGACAACTTTTATTAGCAAATGGTGACTTACGGTTCCTGCGAAAATTAATTAATGAAAATGGAAGCAACTGTCAGAAGAGACCTGAGATGATAAATAACAAGTGAGCCACAAGAAGACTAAACTTGGGAAACAGAGGTTTATCGGAAGAAGCAACGAATAAAAGTCCGATTGAATATTGGATTACGTATTACTGTAAGACGACATTATACAATAAGATGAACACAGGAACTAAAATGGAAATTGCATAAAGAAAACCATAAGGTTTACTAAATTTAAATTTTATTTATTATATAAATAATATACGATATAATATAAAAAAATAAATTATATACGTATTAGTATTATTTCTAATAAAAAAATTTTTTTTTAAAAAAGAAATAAGTATTATTTTCTTTTATTTATTTTGTACAAGGAAACCTTTCTAAATGCACTTTCTTTATAAGTTTGATTCCAAGTATATAAACTTAATAAAATTATTTTTTTAAATATATATATTTTTTAAAAGTTTTTTTTTTGTAGATAAATATTATTATTTTATTGATTGTAAAATTATTTGAAATTTATACATGGAGAAAGCAATAACATCTCTTATATAACTAGCTAAGTTAATAAGTTTAATACTAGCTTGCCTATTTAAACTATTTTAACAGTAAAGAAAATAAATATTAAAATCATTACATATTTGAAATAGTGTCAAGTAGCTATGAATATCTACTTAGGATTATTAATAAGATTATTAAAATTAATTATTAAATTTTTGTAATATAGAATAGAGTTGTAATTGCTATTAATAAATTTATTTGCAACTAAAGATATGAGATTTACTATTAATTTATTATAAGAGTTTAAATTAGATCTAGAGTTTAATACTTTCTAACTTAAATTTTTTGAATTGGTATTATTGTTAATAATATTATTCTTCTTTTTTAACTGGTGGAGATTTTAATCCTACTTGATTCCAATAATAGGAGATATGTTTATTATATTGTACCTTGGTTTTCAAATTAGATTATAGAGTAGTACAAGATTTTCAGAAACTGTTTTGATCCAGGTAATAGTATCTGCTATGAAGTATATATTATTAATAAAATCATATAAAAGCTTAACTACTTGCCAGATGTGGTCAATTGATTTGTTGCTTTGGTCTGGATATAAGGTATTATTTATACTATTGATGATTTGAGCTACATGATTTTCTGCTTTAATATACTTGAATATATATCTAATATCTTCAATTTTAAGCTCATATCTTGGATAGAAGTGATCTGGATACTATTCTGGATATAATTAATTAAGAAATGCTTGTGTTGGAAGTATTCTTGAGAGAAGTTTAATTCTAAACAATATAAAATTACTATAGGAGTTGTTTTGTATACCTTTAATTTTCTTGATATATTTGGTAAGGAATTTCAGATCATATAGATTTAAAGTTTCTTGAAAGGTTTTAGCTATAGACAAGATTTTGCAGATTATGTAGATTTTTGTGATTTTTAGAATTTTCTTGGACCATATAGTATTACTGTCCAAATTGATATTGTTTATTTTAGGATTTTTAGTAAAGTATAATAGAAAAATATTTCAATATAAAATTTTATTTATAATTAGTTTGGGCTTGGACTTGACTAATTGAAGGTAAGTTGATCTTTGAATGCTTAAACTAATAATTTTTGAAATTATGGATATATAATTAGTTTTGATTATTTTTTTTGAACCATCAAGGACTTGTCAAAAAATATCTTAATTGTTTTTAATTTCGATTGTTAATGAGACTGGACATTATTAAATAATATCATAGATTATCAGAAGTATATTGGCTATAGCTGTATCTAAAATATATAGAATAACTTTGATTTTATTAATAATAATATCATCTTTGAAAGCTTGAACAGAGAAGAAAAAAAAGTAACTGATATTAAAAAGTTAGAAAGGGAAAAAAGGATTTGGTGAGAGACAAATATCTTGTAGGATTTTTTCTTATAATTGAGAAGTATTAAAGATTTCTTTGATTAGATTATTAAGATGAAATTTTGATTGAGAAGGGTTTTGAATAAATATCTATAAGGATAATACAGATATAGTTGTAAAGATAATAAGGCAAGAATTATTGTAATTCATACTCAAAAAACAATCTTGACACTTGGTAAGATTGTTAAATTGGTTTGTTAAATAGTGTTTTTCTTTCAAAAATGAGTTTTTTCTAAATTTCATAATTCTTTTGTAGGTTTTAACAATAATATAAATTGGATTGATCAGCTAGAACATTGGTTTTGGATTGAAAATAGGTTTATGTGTATCCTTTAGGAAAAGAGTATTGACAAAATTTTTGAACCAAAGTAGTTCTGGATCATATTTTGTAATTTCTATATATGAAATAATTTGAAATCATATAAGTTTGATAAGACTGTTAAATCTAAGTAATTGATTGATAAACTGGATATTAGTATATTTGCTATACTAACTACAATAATTTTAAGATTGCTTTTGAGTAATCCAAATAAGAAGTCAATAGAATTTATGATATTGTCATTATAAAATATACAGATTGGAAAATACAATTGGATTTTAAAGTTTTTTGCTATATGAACTGCATTAAGAAGCCAATTATCTTAATTGAACCTGTCTGGATCATAGAATGGACAGAACCATATTGATTTTTTTTTTATATTGATCTGATATCTTGGTGAAGATTTTTTCTGATTAACAGGATGGCAAGTTTGGATATTAGATTAGTTACAAGAGATAATTTTTGTTTTTTTTTTAGCAGAAAGATTTTTAGGCCTTTTTTATTAATTAAAATAGGATTGGGGTATTTTGAAAAAATCTTATATGAGAACTTGATAAGTTTGTTAATCTTTTTCTATAAACTGCTGAAGAAAAATTTGTGAAGATGGAAAGTAAGTAAAAAATACTCAAATTTTTCAAGTATAACTTACTCAATAATTTTCTGTTTGATTTTTCCTTTCCAGTTTTGATATATAAGTTCTTTTAAGATTTTGTTAGTTGTTTTTTCAAAGGTTTTTCTATTGAATTTTAGCATGTAATAAAAAGATATTTGGATGCCAGATATTTTACACTTTCAAAAGGTTTTAGAACTTGAATTGTATAGTTGTCAAAGATAATACTATAGTATAAGCTGTTTTTTTTTTTTTTTTTTTTTTTTTTTTTTTTTTTTTCAACGACTGGCATACATCTTGTTTTATTAGGTTATTTTAAATGCAGCATGTACAAATTCATATTTACAAATTTACTACTGCTAATTCCCAAATAGAACTACCTAAAATTTGGATTATTCTTATCTACCAGTTGACTTATTGCCCTCCATTCTTCCTATATTACCAGAACCGGAATCCTGATCGCATAGGTAGAATACTAATGTGTCAGGATGTGCACCTTCTAGTCCCGTCCACCATCCGATGAATGGAAACTTGAAAAACCGTATCCTAATACGATCAGCTGTGGAACTAAGCCATATCCACAAGAAGTCTTTGTGGCTCTAGCTATAGTCACATGAAAAACTGGGTTGTTTCTTTTATAGTCGTGTGGACTATAGGGGAAAGGAAGCATGCTCCATGCATGAGAAATGGGGATATCACCAAACTTGACAACGATCATTGTAACACTGCCGAATAATCATTACACCACTACACCTTTCTTGGTATCACAATCCTAATGCCCATTGAATCAATGTGTGAATTGGCTTCTTATAGGAAACAGCGCATGTTAGATTATGGCGCCAGATATCATCTTGAGACGGTTCAGTTACCTTCATCTGGAACTGAACTTGATATCTTGTGACAGCAATCAGAAGATGCCGATCCATTTCTTCCAGTTTGAGGTTTCCACATTAGCCCTCTGGAGGATTTGAACCATTATCTTGTGATTTGATCTGCGGAGCACTAACCATTGTGCTATAGACCTACAGGTCTATAAGCTGTTTTTAGTTGATATATTATTGATTATTTTTGTTTTGTTTTTGTTATATGTTAATTCATTAATTTGAAAGAATTGATTTGCTGTTTCTAGGAGGCTTTCTATTTTGTTTTTAGTATCTGCAATTAATGCCAGATTATTTATATATATTAAGGCATTAGGAGTTATATATTTGGTTATTTTGGAGTATTTGGAAAGTTTGATAATAAGTGGATTATAAAAGATGATTCAAGTAATTGAAGATAGAGTTTCCCTCTGCTCTATTTCATTATTAACCAAAAAGGATTCTGTTGATCTGAATAGAATATTAATTGATATTTTTCTATTGGAAAATATATTAATAATAAGTTGTATTAACTTTTCTGAACAGTTGATTCTTTGAAATAATTTTTGAATGGCTGGAATTGAAGCAGAATTGATAACTTTGGCAATGTCTAAAGAGACAAACCAAAATTCTTTGTTATCAATATTTGCAGCTTGAATTGCTAAGTTGACAATAGTTAGAGGTTCCATAGTGTTTTGAACAGGAAGGTCAGCAAAGTTAAAGTCTGATAATATTTGATTGTTTTTAAGAGTTTTGATAAATTTTTTTTTAAAAGTTTTTGGTTTTTTTATAGTTTTAAGAAAAATAATTTTAAAAATAATTTATTTTTTTTTTCAGTAGATAAATACTATTTCTTTATTTAATTTATATATTTAAAAGTATATATTATAAAAGAAATATTTCTTATATATAATAGTAACAAGTTTAAAACCTATCTGATTATAGTCCAGTGGGCTAAGGCAGGGTAGGGCTAACCTATGAACTACGGTTCAACCCCAGCTGGGGGCAATTTACATATCCTAAAAATGGGACTTTATGTCACTGCTCCTGTAACTCGTGATAGAAAGCAATTTGGATTATTCCGGTGATCAAGAAGCCTTATGGGTAGACTACACTCCATAGGTCAAAAGATAAATAATCTGATTGGTAAAACTTTCTGATCAAATATTGCCCAGGAAATACCTCCAAAAGGGG